TGCACTGATGGCAGTTCCGAATGATTTAATTAAAATATCCAGCCTTTTTTGTGGGTTTCACTGTTAGCCGTTGAATTTACTATGGAAAGACTGATATACAAAGTAACCAAATAAACTAAAACCAGGTGCTAATTCAGAGGTCTGTCAGGGTAAAATCAGTCCACTGAAAACCACGCCTCCATAAGCTGCCAAAAATCAGTTAGAGTGAACGTTAATAAATACTTATCCCCGCAGGACTGTTTTATGTAATTAATGGTCAGAAGAACTGAATTGTCAGACTGTAAATCCAATAGACATAACTTCTTCCTTACTTAATAAGGCCCTGTCCTGGAAAGGTCAATTTTATGAGCTCAGTGAAACTCTACTGGAAGTTAGAAATCATATAACCCATGTTTTTTTTCTGGGAAGACTGAATTTATTTAATTATCTAATCAAATTCCTATGGATCTTCTGTCATCTAGAAACTGGTTACCAAAATATGAAACACTTGAATTCCAAATAAGCCCATGAAATTTAATTAACTTCTTGATGCGTGACCAAAAATTAGTTTGCTGAGGCTGAAGTGAGGTTTTCATCTCTCTATAATGTCTAGAAGTCTTAGATTCAGCCCAGAAGGTGAGACTCTTATTCTGTTTAAAAAATATCTTTCCAAGTTCTCAAGCGTTGAGATTACCGAAAAGCTGCCGTTAATCTTTGACTTACCTTGATCATAACCCCATTCTAAATCGTCTTTCTCAGGATTGTAACCAGACTCTCCTGTAGTCTTGTTGTCTGCCATAGTGAACTTTCAGAACTCAGAGATCTTTCCGTTTTGTTGATCAGCAAACCAGGATTGTAGAAGCCGATGAATTTTATCTGGAATGTTTTCTGATGACCTGAAGGTAATTTTCCAGCCTGTGAGTCTGGATTCACGCTTGATAATCATGACACAATATGTTACTCAGATTCTTCTGGCTTTCCTTGTTAGTTCCTGTTTTTCTCTCCCTCTGTCTGTGTTTTTTCTTCTCACTGTGCAGTAGAGGAACTGCGACAAGGCTAACTTGGCACGGATCTGCGCTGGGGGTGTAGAACCCCCGCAGCCATAGTGGCCCAGTCCTCCACAGCATGCAGCACCAGAGGAGGCCAAAAGTCCGTTTCTGCACCCACCATAACACCATTTCACTATCAGCATCTCACCAACCTAGGAGAGCCCATACATAGCTAGAGCACTGAGATTTTGAAGATGACGAAGTTTTCTGTGACGTTGCTCTTGGAACATAAGCCAGAAGAGCAGCCAGCAAGACTGAAAGCGGGAAATATTTATAAAAGATGACCACCAGTGCAGGGCCTCAAACGAAAGCCATTTCTGTGGGGGATCACTGTAACCTGAAAAATGCTGGAGTTATGGTCAGGTGGATTAATTGGGGGAGCGAAGCTGAGGGGAAGAGGATTAATCTCAGGTTGGGTGCTATTTGAGCTACGGATAATTCTGCTGAGAAATCTCATTTGTATGCTTTTTCTGAACAATGAGCACAGTACACAGCCCTGAAATGCTTAACAGCGGTTGTTTCTGGAGTGGAGTGTTTGCTCCCCCTGTTGGTCGCGGAGGTTAATTACACGCATTTAAATTGAGATTTTCAATAAAAGAAAATAACTGGTTTACAGAATCGCAATAAGCCGTGTGAGATAAATCATCTCAAAGGCAGTGTCTCTACAGGACCCAACTCTCACAGATTTTCAGCTTGAACCTGAACCTTTCAATGCATTTGAATATGACATCATCAATACACATGTTCTCAGATAACTGTCGCGGATGTCTGCAAAATTGCAAAACAACATGTTATGGAATAATCAAGATGCAGTATTCTTTTCTCGTTTTTTCTTCTTAATAAATTCCGCTTTCATAACGTCATATTTTAAAATACAAGGACATGCTACCCGAATGCAAATGACAAGAGACCCACTTCACATCGTGCTGCTTCCAGCTTATACACAAATTTCCAGTAACACACAAATTTCCCCACTGTGGGATCAATAAAGTCCTATCCTTATGCTTTTACTCTTACATCTTAATCTTAATTGAATATTTTTGGCCAGTACCTTTGCTCCGAATAATATATCAAAAATTTCGTCGAATTTGACAAATGACACAGTTGGTGGGCCACCCAGTGGCAGATTTAATAATTGCATCCACACATCCGTTCTTGTATAAGGATGTCGATAAAATCCTGCTTTTTTATTGATGTGGGGAAAAGCCGCCAAAAGTTACTTGCGTTAAAATTAAAATTGTGGAGAGACTGTGTAGATGTTCTGATTACTGCAATTTTAAATAATTAAAACGATGTGTTGCTCACGCGAGAGGAATACACAGTCCTTTAATTACATATTTTAAAATCATCAAACGTATCTTCAATTAAACCATGCGAAGTGTATTGATTTATGGAAAAATATTAAACGTGAAGGTTGTGAAAAATGTATATGTTGTATTGCGTTCAATAACCAGTTGCTAGGATGGTAATTCAGGCAATATTTGTGCCACTTTAAGTGAGGTACCGCTCTTAAATCCTGCTGACGTTTTTGTTTTAATGAAGATCAGCCTAGCTGTTACAAATAATGAGAAAATGGTGGTGATGCCATGGCTTCGTATAAAGTACCATTCCCTGGGTGACGGTACACCTACAAGGTCGTAGGTTCGATTTGGGCATGTATATATTACATTGTGGGGACCAAAGGTGAATGGATGGTCCCCACAAAGTTAAACCGCGAGTGTGTGTCGTAGTTGGCATGTTCTCCCTCCAGTAATGCATTACTTTTGCACAGTATCGCTGGTCACTTGTGGCAAAATACACTGCCATGGTCGTTTCACTTGTAAATGAAAATGTGCACTTGGGGTTAATAATACAACATCAAAGTGAATTCTAAATTCCACACAGGATTATTCTTGAATCCACAGGAATATCTCCACTTTTTCCAGTGACAAGTGACATTTAGAGAACCGGGGCGCTAGGTGGCGCTCTTAATTTGACGGCACCTCCACTCCCCTAAAATGACATCTCGAGATACTAGACAGCTACTTGATCGCAATATATAACACGTCAGTTTCTCGAAAGCACTGTTTAAATATACACCGCGTGCATCATTTACCAACTTGGACTGAAGTCCATCCCTGCGATGGCCGGCTCGAGGTGGCGGCGTGGCGCTCGCGCGCGCGCGTGCAGTGTCAGCACTTCCGGCCCCGGAAAGTCAGCCTCCGCGTGCGTGGCGAAGGCGGCGCGCGTGACGTCGCCGGCCGAGGCTCGCGGCTGTCTATCGTTCCCCAGTCTGGGAGAGAAAGAGGCCGGATAGCGGAGCGAAGGCAGCGGCACCATCGCCAGGCGCACGGGGCTCGGGAGCGGCCATGGCTTACGCGTACCTCTTCAAGTACATCATCATCGGGGACACGGGTAAGGGGGCCGAGTGCGAGCCGCCTGCGCCGGAGGGGAGGCTGCTTATGTGGCCTGTCGGGCTCTCGTTTATCCCCGCAGTGCTGAAGTCAGGGACGTGCTATCGCAGGCCGGTTGCCCCAGTGTATGTGTGGTGGGGAGGGCTACCTACGTTTTGTCCCACCTAGCTTAACACCTCCCTGGACAACCGCTCGGCGATGCCCACGCCGCGTAATTACTACGCTCCTTTCTGAAGGCGAGAGATCAGCCCGGTTCGCGATGCGATCCAACAAGTTACTGGAACAAAGCCACTAATGGACTTTTAAAAAGATGCGTTTGAAATGCGTGCCTGTGTTGCAACAAGGCGTCCTGGGCCTTGGTGTAATAAGCAAACCGCAGCCTTCTCACGTCAGACGCACGGCCGCTTAATTCTCTGCTGTTTCTCCGTCCCTTTTGTTGTGCCGAGTGAAAAATAACGTGGCTGGTGTTCAACTGTCATAGCGTTTCCCGTCCTTTAACCCCCCCCCGGCAGCGATCCTCTCGCTGCTTTCCTGGAAATGCCGGATTTGATTATGCGGTTAATAGGAGAGACCTGCCTGCCTTTCCTCCTTTTTGTTTCGTGTGACGCCCTTGCGTTTGTTAGCTTGCTGGTCCTGCATCGCCCGCCCGTGGGAAGCCCGTGGGTCCTGGGCGATGTTAAACAAAGCCCCCGATGGCTCCGGCTCGGCTGTCGCTTTGTTCCAGGCCCCCATCTGGCTGTTTTCTAGGCGCCTGACTAGGAACAAGATCCGTAAACCAAGCTGCTCTTCGGGCGTTTAAATCTATTTCTGTATTAATTAACGGGTTTCCCCATATTTCTCGTTTGGCATCGGTGTGTTTATCAATATACATCGCTGCGATGGCGCTGTGCGCTTTTTTAGCTACGCGGGATGCAGCTGTATAAAGGCCGTTTGTTTATTGTATACTCATATAAACTGTATTGGAATACCAGTGTTAATTTAGAGACTTTAGTTAGGGACAAAATATTGTACGTGATAAATAGGTCTTTTTTATTACCGATATTTCGATTTTTTCCTGTAAAATTGTATTCCACGGTCTCAGCGACGTTTTATATACGGTTATTTTGGCGTGGTAAGGTTACAGTACCTTTGCATAGAGAGTAAACATGAACTTGTGTTTTACTTGTCTAGCTTGTCTGGATGATACTCAAAGCAGTTTAATCTGTTTACGGTAAATTTACCGACAGTATTTACTTATCGGTCTTTAGTCTTTCCCTGTGAGGTTTACAGGATGTTAATATAATATATGCATCCCCACTTTGCTCCTATCATGGCTGTAACTGCAATCGAATGGTCGTGTACGACTCTGTCATTATGTCAGCGGAAGTGGTGATATTGTAGCTATGAATTTATTTAACCAAACGGACCCATTCATCATGCGAATGAACAGTTTGTGCTTTTGAACCGCGACTTTGTCCAGGACTGTTTGTTTTAATTACCGGCCGCGACCTGGGCTCCGGCTCAACCGAGGGAGTGTCTTGGTTCCAGCTTCACAACTGTTTGCTTAACAATGCAGAGTCATCCATGCTGACCAGGATCTCAGGTGCGCTGTTCAATGCTCAGAGTTTTCTCTCTAGTTTCGCATGGGATGTGCCTCTTTGTGAGTGTAGTTGGACTGTGTGTCACGGTTCAGAGTTCATTCCATGTGGCATATCCACATGGGAATATTATGCCTTACGTAAGGTGCGGTCTGGGAATTTTAAGCTTCACAGGAGCAATGCCATTAATACCTGTGGAGTTTCTAAGGCCATACTCCCTGTTGTCAGGTTGTGGGATCACGCTGCATCTGTCTACAACCTATTCACTCGTGTTGGTTGGTTAATCTGGAATTATTTTATGTGGAAATGTCCCATTTGAAGCTTAGATCTTCACGATGTTTGTTTGTGCTCTTCAGAACAGACTGTGGTGCTTCTCCGTGATAGCAATATATATGACAAGTGTGACACCAACAGAAGACCAGTGCTTTGGGCCCGGCATGTCGAGAGAGAGCTCCCCCTGTGGGCACCAAACAAACTTATCCTGCACCCATTCCATTCAGAGGCCTTCCAAAGAGCTCCTATAGCTCTCAAACCCTCCAGTGCTCGGTGCTTCTGGCTGAAGAAACCTTGCCGGTTCTTTGATGCTGGCTTCATGTGTTCTTTATTTCTCCCCGTAATCCTTCATGGTTTGTGCTTCCACACAATGGCATATGCTTGTGTGTTCCTGAACACCTGTCACTCGATGGGGTTTGTTGTTGTGTTAATTCCTGATGTCACTGCAGCAGAGGGAACGTCGCCGTCGATAGGCTGTTTCCCGCCTCCCACGCAGAAGCTTGCAGTCGCTCTTAGAGACAGGGCATGTAGGTGTGCTCTGATGTCTGGAGCTCGTTCTGCTGACATCTGGTGTTTGAGGTACTTCTCAGGAACATAGCGTCGACTCGTCACGACTGTCAACGTCGGTCTCAGTCGTTCCTTTGTCTGATCAACTTCGCCACGGTACACAGCTGTGTGTGGACCTGTATGTCTCTGAACGTTTCACGAAGGGTTCAGAGACTGCGGTTACGTACGTGGTACAACTAGTGCCTCAAACAGTCAAGCTCCATTCACGATCCCAGCAGGTACACTAGAAGGTATAGATTCTGCTTTGTCTTGTCTAAACTGCACAGTAGGTGACCTCATGCCTACACTCTGTTAAACCTAAGAGGTTGTGTCAGGTCAGCGACTTTAAGATCCTGAAGAAGGCTGGCCATTGAACTTCTAGGGGAGACTGTCAACATGTGACCTCAAGAGCTGGACAATACCTGACGTGGGTCATTAAATATCCACTTATAAGCGATCAAAGGGCTTTGATGGAAAGCTGCTGCTGTCTATACAGGTTCTGATTTTCCGTTTTTCTGCAACCCAGTTCAAGCAGAGTTTATTCACAGTGGCCATGATCACAACTCTAAATGACTGGACTGGCGCTCAGATACGGATGCAATCTCACTGTTGCCGGTGATCAATCACCATGGCAACATAAGATCGGCCAAACCAGTCCCATATTTCTTTGTCTATATGTGGCTGTGTGTGGCTTTGGCCTTGGTAGTACGTTTATTTTATATATATATGATGTGTGGGTATGTGTGTTTGCACTTGGAGGTACAGATTTTGTTTTATGTTGTTTAATCTGCAGGTTATTTAAACCAGCAGACCCATCCAACCATATAATATATATGTGACAAGACAAGCCGTTACACCAGCCCCCACCGTATGCATGCATACGTATGAAGATGTCTCATCCTAGAGCCTGACCCGGCCCAATCCCCTTTTTCGGTACAATGATCAAAACCGCTGAGTTTGCCCTTAACCTACAATTGCTTCGTCCTGCTTTTGACGTTAATCGACATGCAGCTCTGCAAGCAGGTCCTCCAACTTGCAGGGAAAATGTGGGGTTTGGTGGCAGGATTGGCGCTGCAGCGACTGGAAAAAACTCTCCCTGTTCCATTGGGACTGGTGTGGTGCTGAGGTATCACGCACTGCGTGGCTGCACTCAGGTTCTCATCCCTGAGGTGGGACATGGTGTTGGTGAGTGCGACAGCATGCGGTAATCAGTGCTCGCTCCTAACCTCCTCTCACATAAACCACAAAATTAGTCTGTTTAAAATAAGGGCAAGCCGTATGTTTTGTAAATAACATTGACTATTTGACATGACTATTTTGGTCCAATCATGATTCACTGATCATGCTTGCAGTAAAAACTAAACTAGTTTCATTAGCTCAAGATGGATAACAACCCTCTTCAGTGTTCCAAGTTGCCCAATTGCTGGTCAGTTACTAAACCCAAAAAATGTTATCCGGCCGCCCCCACCTCTACCCTCTCTCCCCCCCCAAAAAAATAACAGAGGTATGAACTGCGGATTTGGAAAATCTTACACCACTAATATCTGCCGACTCCCATCCCCATCCAATCTTTTGGTGAATATTTAAATCCACAGACATTCAGTAGGCGCCGGTCCATTCTTTGTCTAAGCCTCATGATTTCACTGTATTCTTTATTATGATTCTCCAGTTAGCTTTGTCGTATTAATTAACACTCTATTGTTTAAGGACGGCATTGCAAACATTGCAGGTAGTTTTTGGCCTACTTTGAGTTTCCAGTGTAAAGAATTTCCACGCGGCTGAGATCTCGATAGTCTGTAGATTCAAGCCACGTGCCGAAAGGTTACTGTAGCGTGTCACGGCACCTTACAGTCTGCGCAACTGACGAAAATTAGATGGTCGTGGGAATTGAAATAGATTGGGCTTTGGATCGGGCCTTGGATCGGGTCCTGGTAGCCGATGCTTATCAATTAAAAAATGCCTGTATCAGCCCTGATTCCGATCTTTATCAGCTCAGGACATCGCTGCCTGACTTACCTGCTGACATAGTACCACCCCTGGCATTTGCATCCATTTGTGGTGGAAGTTTGACCCAGTTACCAGGCTGAGAGAGTCCAGAATCAGGAACAAGCCTCAGCGCCTGGGAGTGTAACTGAAGGTGGCCGGTGCCTCGCCGGAGAGGTGTGGCTGGGGGTGATCTGTGGGCAGAATCTTAACTACCTATCACGTTTGTGTCTTTCAGGAGTGGGCAAATCATGCTTGTTGTTACAGTTCACAGACAAACGGTTCCAGCCTGTGCATGACCTCACCATCGGTAAGGAGCTGCTCACCGCACACATCATACACTTATGTGCTTGACTGGTTTGTCGTTCCGTGGATCAGCAGGGGGGGGAAAATTCTGCTCCTTGACTTTTTTTTTTTTTGACTCAAGGACATAAATGACACCGTGGCTAATGATCTGAACTTATGAACACTAGTCCCGTAAGGTATCCTGCTGGTTGATGAAAAGTTCCCTTCGAACTGGTGATATTTTTAGCTCGTTCAGCGTGCCAAACTCTCGCACGCCTTAGGAGGACCGTAAACACGTGTGCCCGACATCATCGCACTTTGCTGGCTTTCTTCCCTCACAGGCGTGGAGTTTGGCGCACGGATGATCACCATTGACGGAAAACAAATCAAGTTACAGATCTGGGACACGGTAAGTGTGTTAGTTTGTTTTTCCTGCACCACGCCATCTTTGACATAGAATGCAATGCAGGCTACGACTTTGCGCCAGTGATGAGGAGGTTGCTGGTCCACTTCCCAGTCGTGGTGGGTGATGTCACCATTGGGCCCTGGGGCAAGTCACTTATCCCCAAACTTCTCCAGGGACACTCTGACCCTGCTTTCTCATTAGTATGTCGCTTTGGCTAAATGCATCTGCTAAATAAATAAATGTAATTAAACATTAATACCTATTAAGCACGATAAAAATGAACCGTGAACCACCTAAGGA